CATGCTGTGGAAAGAGCAGCATATTTTCCAGGAGCAAAATAGTAATGAGGACATGGAAAGAAAGATGTCCAGACGTGGCTACCTTCAAGTTTGCTCTTCCAACTCCAACCTGCTGGAATTTTAATTCTAGAATTTCCATTTGGTTCCTTTTTACTGAGATTCCCCACCTGCTCACTCACAATTTCCCCCGATTCTTTTTTTTTTAAATTGTTTTCTTTTTAGATATACATGATAGTACAGTGTATTTTGAACATATTATACATACATGGAGTATAACTTTAATTAGCATCCTATTCTTGCAAGTTGTAAATGATGTGGCATTTCACTGGTTGCAATTTCCTCAATTCTTTAAACATATTTATTAAATCAAAGCTCTATAAGTCAGTTTCTCTTTCTTCTTCTCCTTGTCTTTTTTTTTTTTTTTTTGGTATAGTTTGGTTGACCCTTTATCCCTTTATTTTTAACCAAATGAGAAAGGAACTTACTGGCAATGGTAGTGTTAAAATTAGGTTAAGCAGTAAACTAAGGGATGCCAAAAATCTAATGTCAAAGTAGTTGTTTAAAGAGGGCTTAACCCTCCTGTGCATCAGTTTTATCACATGTAAATGAAAGACTTGGACTAAGTGAGCATTATTGAGCTTTTTTCCAGCTATAAGGAGGTTGAGGGGATGCACCATGCAGATCTGCAGTACACACTCTTGGTTCACTAACTGAACAGCCATTCCCATCTCCTTCTCCTTTGCCTTCCGCTACTCCAGAATAGGCTGGAAAAGTTCAATGACCCTTTTGTCAGCCTCCCTTGGAGTTAAGGGGTGACAATATTACCAAGTTCTGGCCATAAGACATAAGGGGAGTCTCTTGTGGTTCTTGTAGAAAGCCTTATACTTTTTTGATAAAATAAACAGGCACAAAAGAGAGTAGAGCTCTCTCTTCTTTGCCCCTGTTGGTGCAGATTGATCCCTGGACCCAGGATGTTTTGTGGTAGCTTTGTATGTGTCAACCAAGATATGCAGGAACTGTTGTCCAGGATCCTTGCAAGTTCCAGACTAGCACTGATCACAAGTGACATGTTGCATGAGATTGGAAAGATAGCAGGGAAGCAGCATCCACAGTGGTTATGCTCTGAAGGAAAATGCAAGGCTCCAGGAACATTGGCCACTCTCACATGCTAATCTGCTGATTCACCTTGCCTGAAGCACCCAGGCTTACAGCTCCTCCAGCTCTCACCACATCTCCTCCTCTGGCTCCTTTAAGTCCTAAACCAAGTGCATCTGTAGATCCATGAAGGGCACCAGCTTCTTCTGCAGGACACTGACACTAGAGAGAACAAGACACATGCAGATCCAGTCTGTCCTCAAAGATTTCCATCATTCATGATTCCGGTTTGTCCTTCTAATCTGTTCTTGCTCTCATCCACAACCAGCTCTCTACCCTGCCCTCCATTCTGGCAGGATYAACAAAGAACCAAAGACAGCAAATAGCACTGCATAGACTTTTCCAACAGCTCCCACATTGTGCCAGACCTAAGGAGCATTGTCTATAGAACTTCTGTGATGAAGGGAGTGTTTTAATACAAGCCACCCAGTAGGATAGCCATAGTCATATGGCTATTGAGCACTTGAAACTTGAGTTTCTTAAACCCAGAAACTTAATTTTTCTCTTATTTAAATTTAATTAATTTAAATAGCCACATGTAGCAGGTGGCTAGCATATTGGGCAATGCTAGCTACTGCCTAATAATAAATTTCACATTCTTTATCCCTCGTAGTGGTCCTGTTTCTCTGACTGAATCCTGAGCTGTACAGGAAGCAACAACTGGTAGCTTCATGGGGAAGAGCACAGAGACACAAAGCCAACACACAAGGAATGACAGGGCCCGAGGACAAAAAGAGCCTGTGTCCTGTAGCTCCACCAGCAAGCAATCTAGAAACTTCTTATATGAGGGGGAAAAAAGATGTCCCTGTAGCAGTGGACTTCACTGTGTCCTTTCAATAAATTCTCTTTCTTGGGAGCTTCTGCTTGATGCAATGAAGTAGTCTAATCCTTGTCTAGGATATTACAGGTCATGGGTGGTGGTTTTAGAACTGAATTTAGGGGGGAAAATGTATGTATACATGTATAGAACTCATAAAGATTTAAATTAGTCTTTTGATCAGGCAAGTAACATAAATAGAACTACAAACAAGAATTATTGTTGGCTTCCTCTGCTTATAGTTCTCTTTTCCTTCATGTTTATCCTTGCTTTCTTTTGAGGAATGACCTACAATAACTTGCATTCCAAAGTCTTTATTTGAGTTTATGGATACATAAATAAAAACTATGAGTTTTAGACCTAAAGTAGTGTATATTAGGATTCTCTAGAAAAATCAAACCAACTAGATGCGCGTGTGTGTATGTGTGTGCTGGTGTGTGTGTGCATGTGTGTATGTGTGTGCTGGTGTGTGTGTGCATGTGTGTGTGTGTGTGTGCGCGCGCGCGCATACCTATCCTGAATATATAGTTATGTGCCACATAACTATGTTTAGGTAAACTATGGACTCTATATGCTGGTGGTCTCATAATATCATATTGCCTAGAGATGTTGTGGCCATCTTTGTGTAAGCACACTCCATGATGTTTGCACAACCACAAGACTGCTCAATGATGCATTTCTTTGTATCCCTGTCACTAAGTGACAAATGGCTGTATATACATGTCCTGTGATGTAGCTGAAGGGGTCTCACAGCTAAAGTACCCATGTCAAAGATTCCAGTTTGGGTCTGAAAACCTGAGAAGCAGGAATGCCAAGGGCAGAAGATGACCAATGTCTCAGCTCAAACTGAGTGTTCAACCTTTCTCTACATTTTCAGATTTCCTCACCCAATAGATTGGATGAGGCTCACCCACAATTGAAGAGAACCATCTGCTTTACTCAGTCCACAACTCAAGTTCTCACCTCTACCAGACATACCCTTATATATACCCTCAGACATTTCCAGACTATTTAACCAGCTACCTGTACAGCCCATGGCCTTGTCTAGTTCACACTCAAAATTAACCATCACATAGTGTTCCCCAAAACACAATGGCCTCACAATCAGGAACTAAAACATTAGCAAAGCTTTATGGTCCAATGCTAGCATTGAGGGTATAATTTGTTTTCTGTTAAGAAATTCTAAGCTTTGTGTAAACCAAACATGTATTGAGATACTGACATTAAAATTAGAAATGGAAAGAAGCAGCTTTAGACTTGGACTTACAGGAACAAATTTTATGTCCAGTTGAGGATCACTGGATGGCAAATCAACCCTTCTAGTCAGACATCTGACTGAACACACATGCTGTGCATTCTGCATTGTCAGATCTCTGACTAGAAGAATTAATTTTCATGTCTGTCTGCCAGCAAGTAAAGGTGAATCACACAGTAGTTGATAGGGTACCAGGCCCCCTAGACTCACAGGGCCCCACTATGGTCTGCGGTGAACTATACTGTAAAATAGATTCACTGTGTTTTTCTATTAGGAATTTGATTCGTACAAAAAGTTTCCCCATGGCTTGGGGTGAGATAAGATAAGGTTATATGCCAGAGTAGTAACCACTGAGTGACAAAAATTGGTAATAAGATGTTATTGAACTGCAGTTTACAGCTTGAAAGAAAATTGTAGAGGTTGAGATCCCTTCCCCCTCGTGAATCCATGCCCTGAAAAGTTTAGGGATTTGAGGTAGTAGTTATTGATGGGTGAAAAATGGGCCTAGAACCTTTTCAAGGGGTCCAGTAAATTATGCTTGCCATAATTTACCATGAAACCCTGCATACCAGTCTCCAGGCCAGAATCAAGGTAAGCTAAGAAGCAAGCCAGGCAGCTCTACCTGTCCTGCTACACAACTTTGTATTTGCCAGTTCCCTGAGAAAATCCCTATAACTTTCGGGGCTCCTCCCTTCCCCAAGAGAATATAACCTTTCTGGTAAAATATAATTGCCCCTATTGTCTGTCAAACTGGATTTTGTTTTAAGTAGCAGTCCATTTTCACCATTGTAATTATGACAACAAGTGATAGTCATCATTTTTGTCGGCTCCATTCTGAGATTGGCTATTCACCAATCACTACCAGGAATGCTCTTTCCAATGGTCCCTGCATGGTTAATTGAACGTGAAAAGGTTAATGGCTAAACAACATATTGTTTAGTTTGTTAAAAGACTGAGCTGGAGTAGAGAACAATGAGGTAAAGTTGTTTTCAAGCTGTGGCCACATACACAATTCTAATCAACTACAAGAAACTTTTTTTTTTTTAAGGTTACTTAAACAAGTAGTTATTCGTGTTGACATAGGAAAGGCGAAATTCCTGTAATCGAATCCAAGCGGCAGCTCAACAGGCCTCTCAGTGGTGTGTACGGTTTGGTTCCTTGGATGGACAGACTTGCTTTTCACTCCCTCCCAATTTTTGTCCCGCCCTCGTGGCGTATTTTCCTGGGAATGTTTTTTAAAAAAATAAAAATAAAAAACATATTGGTCTTCAAGCTGTCTTTGATGTCTGTTATTTCCTGGTTCATCTCAGGGGATTGGGTCCTCCTAACTTCTCCAGTGTCTGGTGAGTAGCTTTGCTTTTCTGTGTATTTTGTTGTATTCTGTTCAGACCCCCAAAGTATCCCCGCACTCCTTCCCAGCCCTGTGCGAAAGCCAAACGCTTCCTAGCAGAGATCAGAGGGCCCTGTAGCTTTGAGTTCGGGATCCCGGGTGCGAGGAATGCAGTCCCCGCTAGCGGGAAGCTCCCAGATGCTGGTAGCCCGCGAGTCCCTGCCCTGCGAAGCACCCGGCTGGTTCTCCAACCCCAATCCCTCTCCACCCAGAGTGCGTGCCCCTGGGATTCGCAGAGTCCGAGCAAGTGTGACGTCTGGCCTCGCCGGCAGCCCGCGGGCTCTGGCACTTGCACTGCGGAATGCCACTCCTGGGCCCGCCCCGCGGACGGCACGGGGCGGGAGCGGTCGCTGGTCTTCACTTGGGCTCCCCACCAGGTCAGAGCGAGTAAGGCGCTGGAGCCTCCAGGGCGACCGGATGCAGCAACTGAACCAACGCTGGGCGCACGGCGGGAGACCCGGGGCGAGGCTGCCCTTCGTGCGTGTTGGGGGCCCGAAGGGGACTCTGGATTTCGGTCCCTCCTCTTTTCCCTCTGGGTCTCCCACTCGGGTTGTCGACCCTCCTCCCAGGTACTGGCCGGGAGCGGAGGGCGCCTATCTCCACAAATCCCATCATGGGCAACGCCTCCAATGACTCAGGGTCCGAGAACTGCGAGACTCGACAGTGGCTCCCCTCGGGCGAAAGCCCAGCCATCAGCTCCGTGATGTTCTCCGCCGGGGTGCTAGGGAACCTCATCGCGTTGGCGCTGCTGGCGCGCCGCTGGCGGGGGGACGCGGGGCGCACCTCCGGTGGCAGAAATTCCATCTCCTTGTTCCACGTGCTGGTGACCGAACTGGTGTTCACAGACCTGCTGGGTACCTGCCTCATCAGCCCGGTGGTGCTGGCTTCATACGCACGGAACCAGACTCTAGTGGCCCTAGAGCCCGAAAGCCGAGCGTGCACCTACTTCGCCTTCTCCATGACCTTCTTCAGCCTGGCCACGATGCTCATGCTCTTCGCTATGGCTCTGGAGCGCTACTTTTCCATCGGGCACCCCTACTTCTACCAGCGCCACTTCTCTCGCCGCGGGGGCCTGGCGGTGCTGCCAGTCATCTATGCGTTCTCTCTGCTTTTCTGCTCCCTGCCGCTGCTGGACTATGGGCAGTACGTTCAGTACTGCCCTGGGACATGGTGCTTCATCCGGCACGAACGAACAGCTTACCTGCAGCTTTACGCCACCGTGCTCCTGCTGCTCATAGTAGCGGTGCTCGCCTGCAATTTCAGTGTCATCCTCAACCTCATCCGAATGCACCGCCGAAGCAGGAGAAGTCGCTGCGTACCTTCCTCTGGCAGCTGCCTGGGTCCCACGGCCCGCAAGAGAGGGGATAAGCTGTCCATGGCGGAGGAAGCGGACCACCTCATCCTCCTGTCTATTATGACTATCACCTTCGCCATCTGCTCCTTGCCTTTCACAGTAAGTCACTCGTTTCCACAGCCCAGCTCAGTGCCAACCTTCACCTCAATCTTTCCACCGCCCTACAAACTTTTTGCAATTTGAAAAAAAAAATATGTCCTAATTTGTAAAGATCGTTTTTCACCTTTACCTCATTTCCTTCCTCCCCATCTGGCATATGGGCGTCGGTAACCTAGTGTTTCTAAGCCAGCCCAGCCTCCACCCTAGAGTTAAAAGCCCCAATTCACACCATTTTAGCTGCCATTGAAAGTGGAACCAGGTCCCTCCTGTGAAAGTTCAGAGGGTTTTGGTTTTCTTTGTTTGTTTGTTTGTTTGTTTGTTTGTTTTGTCCTTAAAGTTCAACAAACATCTAGTTTACAGGTTTCACAATTTATATATTCAAGCATAACTCTCTGTGTGGCCATGAAAAGTCATGACATCTCCATAATGATGTGGTGAGGAAAAGAGAACTGGCCCAGAAACTCTTTGCTAAGCTTTTGGTTTCTCCAGAGAAGGCAATTGTAAACTGTTACAGAGTATCATCTTGATACTAGCAGGAATATACACAGGTGCTCTTCATTTTATAGTCCTGCACTTTATGAGCACAAAGCTATATGCAGGGAGAATCCATCTCAAGGAAAGGAGAGTGGGGTTGCCTGGGGAATAGAAGGGCAGGAGCCAATGTTCACTCTCAGCTGCTAAGTGCAACCTCCAGGCAGTTAGTTCTAGGATGCTCTGAATTAAAGTCATCTCAAGTGTAATGTGATAATGAAGTCTGGGATGTCAAAGCAAGTTATGAGCTCTGAAAGAGTTAGAAATTGTGAGTTTGGAAGAGAAAGACATGGACAGTGTCTGACTTGTCATGTAGAAGTTGGAGAAGTAACTTTATCCTACTGCCTGTCTCTGTCATTGCTTCCAGTTTCCTTCATCTTCTCATCTTCAGCAGTGGAAAAGGACACAGGGTTCTAAAAGCCCACAGATGATCCCCACCCGCAGTGAACTTCATTTCTCAGCTATGTTCTCTTTGCCCTGGTCCCTACTGTCCTCACACTTGTACCCACCAATCCTGTGAGGGCAGAAGCTGGTCTGAATGGGTAAGTCACACTTAGGGGGAAATGAGGAGGAGTTTGTCAAAGGTACCCTCCTAAATAATGTGGGACCATGTGGAGGTGACATCTCCCATTCCACTTTGAGCAGAGAGTGTGTTATAGAAATGTTGCAATGTAGAAACCAACATGGCTTCTTCACTCTTGTTCTGTTTTACTGAAGGAGGTTTCAATTATGTTAGGGGCTAATTGGCTTTTGGGGATTAGATCTAAGATGCAGAACATTATCAATGAAAGAAAGCACTTGAAGTTCCACCAGACAACAGAATTCAACTTGGGGGACATAAACCATTCCTGAATGGGGGAGTGACTGTCTTAGGTTGATAGGAATTAAGATGTCAGTTCTTAAATTTTTATCTATCATTTATGAGTGGATTTATAAAAAATATCCTCCACCTCTGGTTACTTCAATAGCCCAGGAATGGGCTCAAGTGTGGAAAAGGACTGTTAATTTCCCTTTTATTTAGAAGAGGCAAACAGGAAGAAAAAGGTCTCCCCCTTTTACCATGACTGTTCTGCATAAACTGTATTTTTAAAAATAAAGAGTGATTTTCAACAGGTTCCCCTATTTTCATATACACTTTGTCGTTCATCATGAGGACTCCAGTCATTGCCATGTTATCAACAGATGGTTATATGTATATATAGCCACCTGTTGATAAATAAATATATCTGTTGATATATATATATATATATTCATTCCACCTCCTTTATTTACTATTAGGCATGGAGCAGTTCTAGTGCTTCCAAAAGGAAGGGACTTAAGAGTCAGATGGGATGGAGAGTGGGAGGTTTGCCTTGAAGCTGTGTTTTTATTTTGATTGCCTGTTGAGGGGTTGGGGGAGGCCAGATGAAGATTTTGAGGTGGCTTTAGTTCCACCAAACCACCCTGTAGAATTGAGGCTAACTGCAAAATATTGTCTAGGTTTTCTTCTGCATATATTCATGGCAAAAGTTCTCAAAGAGGAGAAAATCCTAGCATGAACATAATCAAAAAGCTGACCAAACTGACTCCTGGCCTTGGGACTACCACATCACAGTCAGATGAAATATAGGTAATCCAAGAGGCACAAAACATAAAATTGAAATCTCAAAGTCGTCTCTGATTAAGAACATCTACATGGATCATTGACTAATTTTATTTTATCAATAAAATTTTGGCCATAACTGTTAGTATTCTTTCACTTCATACATTTTTCACTACATACCACTTCAAACTTTATGAAGTGGGCCTGGGCTTTAGCTCAGCAGCAGAGCACTTGCCTAGCATGCATGAGGCACTGGGTTAGATCCTCAGCACCACATAAAAATAAACAAACAAAATAAAGGCATTCTACCGACTTATAACACAAAAAAATTTTAAAAAAACGCTTTATGAAGTGCTGCACTATTCTGATTTAAGTTATATCTTGAGGGTCAATCTGATAAATTCAAACTCATGACTACTGTTTGGTTCATATATTCTGACATTTCAAATACTTGGCATGTGTCCCAGAAGGTACTCCTCCATCCCCAAGCAGTGTGGTTCTACTTGGCCCACACTAAGTTATTGGTCAGAAATGGCCTATACCAATCTCCTACCCAAGGTAGGAACCATTTGCCCACATCGTACCTGGGAGCTCAATAAAATAAGGCAGAGGCTCATGATTGCCTTCAGAAAGTCTCCTATTTCTCCAACAGAGTACACACAGCTCAACAGAAATACAAATTGCACCACATATGAAATTTTAGATTTTTTTCTATAAGCCACAGAACAAAAAGTAAAAAAGAAACAGATGAAACTAATTTCAATTATTTTATTTAACCCAATATGTCCAGAATATTACCAATTAAAAAAGCTATCAATGTAGAAACATTTATTGAAATATTCCAACTAATTTCTTCCTTGTATCCCAGAAACACCAGAAAACCATCCTATCTCTGCCCATCCCTTCCCCAGGATAACAAGAACTACTTTCTTTGTCCCTCAAAAGTATATCAGATAACTAGTCAGCAAGGAGGAGAGTTCACAACTGTGCCAGTAGGACACCASTCCATCCCACAGTATGCTAAGCAGTAGAGGAAAATGGAGGACTTAGAAACCTGGAAAAACTAATGTAACCATTGTCCCAGGGTATGGGAGAGAGACCTGGCTTCCTCCAAGGATGCCAGTCAAGGGTCTCCAAATTTTAGTAAGTGAAACTCTCAAAATGGGGGATAAAATAACAGGCACCCTAAAATAATTTCAAGTTCAACCTCATGTATTATTATTATCAACACAAAAGAGACAGGTTTTTGAGCACTGTATCAACCCATCATCTTTACAACAACCTATAAAGGAGATAATATTATGATTTCTGTTGTTCAGATGAGGCCAATAGCTTCAGGTAGGTCCTACAGCTAGTGAGTGAGTGAGGTGTGATTGAAAGGCAGTTAAATCACCAAAACCGTGCACTTAACTGTAATACTACCAAAGAGAAAATACTCATTCCAGGGGTGACATGAGAAGATTAATCCAAAATTTCACAAGAGAAATGTGAATTCATTAAATATATTTTTCCTTTTGATTCTAGCTTGTTAGTTTTAAAAATAAAATGGCAAAGCTCTTTTTCTCCATGTCAGTTCAAGGAGCTAAGCTGGGTCTCAAGTGTGTGGTTTTCTTTTTCTCCTCTGGAGACTTATTAAATAAAAGCTTGAGACTGAGATTTTAGGAGATTGGCTAATGTAAATGCTGGTCTAAATTAAGAAATAATCAGATAACCCCTCACATAAAATCTTCCACATAAACCTTTTTTTTTTTTTTTTTTTTTTTAGTGATTAAAAAAAACCAAAACATGTGGTGTTTGGGAAATGACATTATTTTGGCTGTCCAATATGAAATCATGCATGAGACCAACAACATATTCCAAACTGTTTATCTGCTAAAGGAGTACTGTATAAATTAATAAATTCCTCCTTATGTTAATCAGCTGTTGTCATCATTTCACAGTGATAAATAGAACTTTTTTTTCTTCCTGAAATGGAACAGAACACAGAGAACATATGAGACCTCCATTTTTGTTTCAAATACTGTTTGTGTCTAAATTTCCAAACCATATCAAGCTACTTTCTCACCATGTTACTGATCATGGGTAGCTTCTGGTCATTTTAAACTGTTTTTCACATGCCATTGGGATAAAGTGCTTATATATTTTATTCAGTTCTGAAATTTCAAGAACAAACCTTTGACTCATTCTAAAAATGTCTTCATCTTTACAAATTCTTTAGGGTTACAATTTCTAGGTAAATCTGATTAGTGGAAATTTGATCACTGAAGTACAAAAAAAATTCAAGTAAATAATACTAGAGTTTCCTGTTCATTCCTGGTATTCTTTATGTGCAGTGTAACATGAATGAGGGTTTAAAAGCTGATGTAAAATTGGCTGATTACATACAAGCAAAATATAATAATTCAGGTAGGGATTAAAGAGAAATCCAGAAATCTCTGTGCATAATTATAATGAATTTTTGTCTGATGGTATTTTAGTAGACGTCCATGAACAACTGGAAGGCCCTTTACCATTCAGGCATCATTAACCATGTGTTTGGGGATTGTTGAGACAGTTTTAATATTTAAATTTTAAGAGAAAGTACCTCTAGACGAGTGTTTTCATTGGACATCTTTTCCTTTGTCATTTGGTACTATATAATGGGGAATATAAATGGACACAGAATTATATGATTTATAAAATTTAGACATCAAGAACCGTTATCCTTTTCCCCAAAGAGAATTTGTATCTTATGCCTATACCCTTGGTCAAGTGCATCCTCATTGCTGTTTCTGATGGTTTAGGCCAGGTCCTTGGCTTAAATAAAAACAGCTTTTTGAGATGTATATTTCTTGCTTGGCATGCTAAGAGCCCATCACATTATTAAGTTTAACAAGAAAAAAAGAAT